CATTGCTTGTTTTTGTGAGGTTTGTCAAAGATCAGATGGTTGTAGATGTGTGGTGTTGCTCCAGAGGCCTCTGTTCTGTTCCATTGGTCTGTGTCTCTATTTTGATACCAGCAGCATGCTGTTTTGATTACTGTTGTCTTGTAGTATAGTTTGAAGTCAGGCAATGTGATGCTGCCAGCTTTGTTCTTTTTGCTTAGGGTTGTCTTGGCTATGAGGGCTCTTTTTTGGTTCTATATAAAGTTTAAAGTGTTTTTTTTTTTTTTCCATTCTGTGAAGAAGGTCATTGGTAGTTTGATGGGGATAGCATTAAATATATAAGTTACTTTGGGCAGTATGGCAATTTTCACCATATTGATTCTTCCTAACCATGAGCATGGAATGTTTTTCCATCTGTTTGTGTCCTCTCTTATTTCTTCGAGCAGTGGTTTGTAGTTCTTCTTGAAGAGGTCCTTTACCTTCTTTGTTACGTGTATTCCTAGGTATTTTATTATTCTTGTAGCAATTGTGAATGAGAGTTCACTCTTGATTTGGTTCTCTGTTTGTCTGTCATTTGTGTATAGGAATGTTTTTTATTTCTGCACATTGATTTTGTATCCTGAGACTTTGCTGAAGTTGCTTATAAGCTTAAGGAGAGTTTGGGCTGAGACAATGGGCTCTTCCAAATATACAATCATGTCATCTGCAAATAGAGACAAAATGACTTCCTTCTTTCCTAGTTGAATACCTTTTATTTCTTTTTCTTGCCTGATTACTCTGGCTAAAACTTCCAATACTATATTGAATAGGAGTGGAGAGAGAGAGAGCATCTTTGTCTAGTGCCAGATTTCAAAGGGAATGCTTCCAGTTTTTGTCCATTCAGTGTGATATTGGCAGTGGGTTTGTTATAAATAGCTTCCATTATTTTGTGATAGGTTCCACTGATACCTAGTTTATTGAGAGTTTTTAGTATAAAGGGCTGCTGAATTTTGCCGAAGGCCTTCTCTGCATCTATTGAGATAATCATGTGGTTTTGTCTTTGGTTCTGTTTATGTGGTGGATTACGTTTATGGACTTGTGTATGTCAAACCAACCTTGCATCCCTGGGATGAAGCTTACTTGATCATGATGGATAAGCTTTTTGATTTGCTGTTGCAATCAGTTTGCCAGTATTTTATTGAAGATTTTTGCATCTGTGTTCATCATGGAGATTGGCCTGAAGTTTTCTTTTTTTGTTGTGTCTCTGCCGAGTTTTGGTATCAGGAATATGTTGGTCTCATAAAATGAGTTGGGGAGGATTCCCTCTTTTTGTATTGTTTGGAATAGTTTCAGAATGATTGGTACCAGCTACTCGTTATTCTTTTTTTCTTTTTTCTTTGGAGGCAGAATCTCATTCTCTCATGCAGGGTGGAGTGCAGTGGTATAATCTTGGCTCACTGCAACCTCAGCCTCCCAGGCTCAAATGATTCTCCTGCCTCAGCCTCCTAAGTAGTTGGGGTTACAGGTGTCTGCCACAACACCTGGCTAATTTTTACATTTTTAGTAGAGATAGGGTTTCACCATGTTGGCCAGAGTGGTCTTGAACTCCTGACCTCAAGTGATCTGCCTACCTTGGCCTCCCAAAGTGCTGAGATTACAGACATGAGCCAGCATGCCTGGCCTAAAAAATTATTCTTAAATCTCTAGTACCCTGTATTGAATTGATAATGATACAGCTTAGTTTTTTATGATTTTTAATGATTATTTATTTAAACAATTTTTATAGATACATAATACTTATGCATATTTATGGGGTGTGTGTTACAGTATTTTTTTGCATGCATAGAATGTGTAATGATCAAGCCAGGGGATTTAGGATATCTATCACCTTGAACATTTATCATTTCTGTGAGTCGAATATATTTCGAATCCTTTCTCCTAGCTATTTTGAAATACACGCTGTGATGTTAACTGTAATCACCCCAGTCTGCTATTGAACGTTAAGCTTATTCCTTCTATCTAACTGGAATTTTTTATTCATTGTCCAGTCCCTCTTCCTCTTTTCCTTCTACGTTATTTCCTGCCTCTGGTGACTATCATTTTCCTCCCTCCCTCCATGAGATTAGAGAATTTTAAATCACCTAATCCACAGACTGCTGTCTTCCAAAAGCCTGCCGCTCCTGCTGCTGCCTGCCTGCTGAGCCCTGTTTCCTCCCTCTCTTTGACCCTGCTTTCTCTGAGGTGGCCCAGAACCTGATGGCTGTCTCTTAGCACATTGTGTAAAGGGCTGGGGTACCACATGCTATTAACGTAATTTGATCATGGAAATATTAGTCTTTGCTTTCTTTGTAATTATTTTGAATTAGCAGCAATTTCTTAACCCAGTAAAATTTCCTTACCTCATTTTCTCCCTTTTGTGAATGTGTGAAATAAGGTCTCCTAACTAAATGAAATAGATGTTATTATGTGTATGAGAGTGCTGAAGATGCCTAAAGTAATAAATTGGTTCCATTGCTATAAAAGCATTCATGTACCGATAGCAGCAATTCAAAGAATTGTTTGTCTGGTTCAACCAGTTCCCTGAAGCCATTTATACAATGCTCTATTGAGTTAGTGATGATATAATGTGAAAAAAAAGAAATATCATATCATAATATTTAAACCTTTAAGGAATTTTGAATATCCCTCTTTCTAATCAAACAAAATAAGATTTAATAATGTTCCATAATGTGAAGTTTATTTTTATTTTAATATACAACATTTCAACAGAAAGGCATATAATTCCTTCTGAAAACAGGTTTGCTAAGCACTTCTAAGAACACAAATGTGTTGCTATCCTTAACTTGATACTTTACATTTTCTTGCGGTTTTTTTTGTTTTTGTTTTTGTTTTTGTTTCCTAGAAATCCAAATGTCTAGTATCGAACAGCTGTAAAAGGGACAAAAGGAACAGGCTTGATGTGACCCTGATAATATATGGTTTCATTTGACCCTGGGAGGAACAACTTCAAAGTAGATTCACAGTTAAATAAATTCAATTCTCAAATTGTCCACACACAAGCCGAGAATTGACTTCTGAATCAGGTCCACAAGAAAAACAAACAAAAATAGACATAAGCGTTACTTGATCTATAAATTTATACAAAGTAAATTAAAACTTAAAAAACACATCAAGTTTGTCATTTTTAACTATGTAGCTGCATATCTGTTCTCTGCTAACATACTGTTTTGAAATTCCTGTTTTCCAACTTCAGAAGATCAATACATCTTTCTTCCAGGAAAGCAATTTAGGTAGAATTTTATCGAGTGTTGGGAATGTGAGCAGTGGCAGTTGCTTAAAACTAAAGATGTAGGGCCCGGCGCGGTGGTTCACACCTATAATCCCTGCATTTTGGGAGGCCGAGGCGGGCGGATCACGAGGTCAATTGATGGAGACCATCCTGGCCAACGTGGTGAAACCCCGTCTCTACTAAAAATATAAAAATTAGCTGGGCATGGTGGCGCGTGCCTGTAGTCCCAGCTACTTGGGAGGCTGAGGCAGGAGAATTGCTCGAACCTGGGAGGCGGAGGTTGCAGTGAGCTGAGATCGCACCACTGTACTCCAGCCTGTTCCTGGTGACAGAGCAAGACTGTCCCTCCGCCCCCCAAAAAAGTAAGATGTACAGTATTTGATGTACACAGAACTTGCGAGTGGCAGCAGACAATGCGGAGTTTGTTTCTCTGATAATACTTCTCATCAACCACACGTCTCCAGTCAGATTTCGCTGCTGTCAGCTCATGTTGTTGCATTTTTATTTTGTTTTCCATATTTTTTGCCATATGTGGTTCACAGTATTTTTTCCAAAGGAAAGTTGTAGATAACAAAAAAAGAGTGAGAAAGTGAAGATAAATTGTATTTGGGCAGCAATGATAATTGACTTTATAGTCTACATTTTTTTTCAGATCTTTTAATTTATATCCCAACCTTTTGAACACTTTCTGCCTATTTGGAGCCTCTGTAAACATTTTGAGAACACTTCTCATTTGCCATTTATCCACTTCATTCTTTTTTTAAAATTATACTTTAAGTTCTGGGGTACATGTGCAGAACATGCAGGTTTGTTACACAGGTATACACGTGCCATGGTGGTTTGCTGCATCTATCCCCATCATCTTCCTTAGGTATTTCTCCTAATGTTAGCCCTCCCCAATCCCCCCATTCCCTGCTATTCCTCCCCTAGTCCCCTACCACCCGCCCCCCTGACAGGCCCTGGTGTGTGATGTTCCCCTCCCAGTGTCCATGTGTTCTCATCGTTCAGTACTCACTTAGGAGTGAGAACATGTGGTATTTGGTTTTCTGTTCTTGTGTGAGTTTACTGAGAATGATGGTTTCCAGCTTCATCCATGTCCCTGCAAAGGACATCCACTTTGCAGGGACATTCTTATTGGCAAAGTAAGAGATAATTTTGAATAAAAAGAGCATTTTCATGAGAATGTCAGCTTGGACAGAGTAAGTTGTATGTTGGTTTATAATTAGACAAGACTATTTAGAATGCATCAGTCTCAGTTTAGACAATCACAAGGCCCATTAAGGAAAACCGTTTATGTAACTCTGTGAAGTATGTGTATTAGAAGTGTTAGAATAAAAAATACTGTAAGCTTCTTGAGGGTTTTTGTTTGAAACAAGTACGTGTTTAAATTTTTAAGTTATAAAAGATTGTCTATTTATCAATATTTGGCAGGTTGTATAATATCAGTTTAGTGAAGGATATAGTACTGAGGCTGAGGATATTTGTCCCATATAAAAGATAACATTCAGGCCATTTCTGTAATAATCATTCTTACTCTCTATTGGAAAAAAATCTAGGACGTTAATCCCTGTAAAATCTCTTATGCTTATGTCTTGTATACTACATAGTTGATAGAAAAAAGAAGTAGATTTGTATAAATAAGTCAGATTTTTAATAGCAAAAATGCTAAAAAGAGAAAATGTAATTGCATTCATTTTATTTTTGAATTTGTTTTCTTTTTGAATCCTTTTTCTTCTCTTTTTCCCCCACAAAGCAGGATCATTTTGGAATTCAGCTTCCTCTGATACTGAGGCTTCATATCTTCATTTTCCTACTTTTCACGGAGAACTTAGCGCTGATGTGTCTTTCTTTTTTAAGACAACAGCTCCATCTGGGGTATTTTTAGAGAACTTGGAGATTACTGATTTTATACGAATAGAGCTTCGCTGTAAGTCTCCTTTTCCAGAGAAGTGTATGAGATTGTATCATTTAGTAGTAAATCTTTTAACTGATTTTTAAACTACTCATATGTCTACTTTATCATCTGACTCTTTTCATTGTGCCCCTTTGAAAAAAACTCAATGATATTAAATTATCCTTTTTGTAAGAATATAATGTGATATTTAACATGTGATAATTTGGGAAAGTAATTGGTAGTTTCTTATAACAATTTAAAAGCAGTTTTAATTTCAGTTAATTAAAACTAAAAAGTATTTTTTTAGTCAATTAAAAATTACTTAAATCAACCACTCATTTTGATATACTCCTAAGCTGCTATTATCTGAATATCAAATATGTATAGCATGCCTTTGGGATTATATAAACTTTCAATCACTGTAACAATTATTTTTACATACAATGCCAGTTGCTATTAGCTTTCTTGCTTTGGACAAATAGCTTTACTTCTCATCAATAGCCAAACTTAACTCTGAGGAGAAATATCTTAGAATATCATTGATTTTTTTCAAAAATATGAATGTACTTAACTGTCTCATGTCACATCAGAAGACCTAGTTCTGTGCCAGTGTCATGAGTTTCAAACAATAGCATTCCAACCATGCTGTGTTTGTTACCTTTCTATTTAGTGATTGCTATGCTCTGGTGCTATTCCTAAGTACTGTATATTGGAGACTCAGCACTCTACCACATGAACTCACTTGAGCAATCTTTATGTGTCATATTTCCAGCTCCAACAGTAGTGACTTTTTCATTTGATGTGGGGAATGGGCCTTTTGAAATCTCAGTGCAGTCACCCACCCACTTCAACGACAACCAGTGGCACCATGTGAGAGTTGAAAGGAACATGAAGGAGGCATCCATTCAAGTGGATCAGCTCACACCAGAGACACAGCCCGCCCCAGCAGATGGCCACGTCCTCTTACAGCTCAACAGTCAACTCTTTGTGGGTAAGTTCTCTTTTTAAGCAATCATTCAGTTGTAGGATATATGCTCAGAAATGGGCCAAGATATAATAATACCAACTGTAGAAACAAGAATAATAACAAGAAACAGCAATAACAAATCACGATTGATTAAGAAACTGTATTCCATACATGGCCAAATGCTTCATGTTTTCCTCATAACCAACCTGTGGAATGGGTGTTACCCGTATTTTACAGATGAGATAGCTGAGCTTCCGGGGTTGACTTGCCTGCAGAAAGATTCAGATTTGTGCTTAACTAATTCCTATTTGCATGTATGTATTTTTCTTCTTCTTCTTCTTTTTCTTCTTCTTCTTTTTTTTTTTTTTTAGAAACAGAGTCTTGCTCTGTTGCCCAGACTGAAGTAAAATGGTGCTATCTTCGCTCACTCCCCAAGGGTTCTAGCAATTCTTTTAACTCAGCCTCCCAAGTAGCTGGAATTACCGGTGCCCACCACCATGCCCAGCTAATGTATTTTTAGTAGAGATAGGGTTTTGCCATGTTGACCAGGTTGGTCTTGAACTCCTGACCTCAGGTACTCTACCCGCCTCAGCCTCCCAAAGTGCTAGGATTACAACTCAACCATTCCCTGCCTTACCTGCATGCTTAATATTTCAGGTTATACGATTGGTTTCAGCTTGTTTATTTATTGCATCACTGTTTTACTATCATATCAGGAATGTTTATCTCTGTTCTCAGAATTGATGAGGAAACCTCCTTGTAATTCCAGTTGATGCCAAACAATGGACACTCCCCCACCCCACAAACACCACATGGAAAACAGGCCAGTAGCAAACACACACACACACACACACACACACACACGCACACACACACACACACACACAACCCAGACACACAGTGTGTATAGAATTCCTGGTCTGATAGTTTCACCAGTTCTCTGCTATTTTCCCTCATTTTGTCCATTTTTCTTTATTTCCTAAATCCATTCATGTGGCATTTATAGATTTGATAGTGGAATCCTCCTGGATGTGTTTGTTTTGCTTCGCATCGTTGCTAACTTGTTTGTAGAAATTATAGACCATGAATTATCTCTTACTCGATCACTTCTCATATATTTTAATATAAACATAAAAGCACTGTAAAGCAGAATAAATGATAAAGTGTTAGAAATTGTGCTTCAAGCTTAGATACTGTGTAATCCTACCACTTTTGGAGACCAAGATAGGAAGATTGCTTGGGGCCAGGAGTTTGAGATCAGCCTGGGAAATACAGCAATACCCCATCTCTACAAAAAGTCAAAAGTTAAAAAATTTAGTCAAGCATGGTGGGACACCCTGTAATCCCAGGATTTGAGAAGCTGAGGTGGGAGGATGGTTGAGCCCAGTAATTGGAGGCTGTAGTGAGTTATGATCACGCCACTGAACTCCATTCTGGGTAACAGAGGGAGCCCCTGTCTCAGCAACAACAACATCAACAAATAAATTATTTTTCAAGCATTCTCAAGTGTTACACCTTTCAAGAAAATTGATCAGATCCCCACTACGCCTTTTATTTCTTAACAGTCTGATTTTATTAACCTTCTCTCACTAAAGAGGATGAAGCTTATTTGCAACACATTTGAGGAAGACGTATTTGAGATTACTAATATATTTGTATACTTAACATTTTAATCATTTATTACTTCCTTTACTCCAATATTTATTGCATAGTTTCTATAAGTAAGGCACTGTAACAGACAATCTAATCATGATCTTGTGACCACTTGACTGATGAACTTAAGGGAATGAAGATAATAACATATTAGCAGAAATATATAACTTTTAATAACACGCTAGAAACTCAGGACATTGACAAACCTATTTCTTGAATTACGAAAAAATGAGAGATGGCCGCAACAAAAGGTATGGCAATTTAAAATCTGTCAGTAGCTTGGAAATAGCCTTACTGTTCTTGGAAATTGAGAGGCCGAAATTGTCCTTGAATTTTTCAGTGAAATAGGCTGCAGTTTGCCTGTGGATGACCTTTCACTCTTGGTATGAATTTCAGCTTTATGAGATGGAGTCACTCTGTGTTATGTCGGCCTAAACGTGACTTCAGAAAGTTGTAATGAAGTACTAGTATGACATCAGAAAACTGCTTGAAAACAGACTTTAGTCTTTTAGCATTAATCATGTGATACAATTTTAATAAGGACACAGAAAGGGGAACATCACACACCGAGGCCTGCAGGGTGGGAGGCTAGGGGAGGAATAACAGGGGGTGAGGGGACTGGGGAGGGATAGCATTAGAAGAAATACCTAATGTAGATGACGGGGCGATGGATGCAGCACACCACCACTATGGCACATATATACCAATGTAACAAACCTGCATGATCTGTACATGTACCCCAGAACTTAAAGTATAATAATAATAATAATAATAAATAAGGATCTAAAAGATTTCGTCTTCATGGAGGCAGTTGGTTAGGCCTTTGACGTCACTATATGTGTTGACATGTAAGGATGGGTGTTATTCCAAAGTTTTATGAAAAAGCACTCTTGATTATATTTAGGTCAAAGTCATTGAAAATTAAAAAGGTGAGGCAAAACTAAGATTTTTGAAGAATGGTTACATATGCTATTAATACAAATCTGTTTATACAATTTCCTCCTTTCTGTTCACAGACAACTGTGAGTAAGTTGATATGATTTAGTGTGGAGATACTAAGGGAAGGGCTCATATAAAAGAAAAAAACATTTTGGGTAGAGAAAATCATTGGCTATTAAAATACCACGTGAGGGGCTTGGTTTATCTTCACCTCCACTAGAGTGAACTAGTCAGTTAGGAAAGGGCTTAGACCGCAGGCTATATATATAAAACTATGTGTATTTGTATGTGTGTGTGCGTGTGTCTGTATAGTATATATGTGTGTATATATATATATAACTATGTATATTTGTGTGTGTGCCTGTGTGTGTGTATACTATATATGTGTGTGTATATATATATATAACTATGTATATTTGTATGTGTGTGTGCATGTGTGTGTATACTATATATGTGTGTATATATATATATAACTATATTTGTATGTGTGTGTGCATGTGTGTGTATACTATATATGTGTGTGTATATATATATAACTATGTATATTTGTATGTGTGTGTGCCTGTGTGTGTATACTATATATGTGTGTATATATATATATAACTATGTATATTTGTATGTGTGTGTGCGTGTGTGTGTATACTAAATATGTGTGTGTATATATATATATAACTATGTATATTTGTATGTGTGTGTGCGTGTGTGTGTATACTATATATGTGTGTGTATATATATATAACTATATTTGTATGTGTGTGTGCATGTGTGTGTATACTATATATGTGTGTGTATATATATATATAACTATGTATATTTGTATGTGTGTGTGCCTGTGTGTGTATACTATATATGTGTGTATATATATATATAACTATGTATATTTGTATGTGTGTGTGCCTGTGTGTGTATACTATATATTTGTGTGTATATATATATATAACTATGTATATTTGTATGTGTGTGTGCCTGTGTGTGTATACTATATATGTGTGTGTATATATATATAACTATGTATATTTGTATGTGTGTGTGCCTGTGTGTGTATACTATATATGTGTGTGTATATATATATAACTATGTATATTTGTATGTGTGTGTGCCTGTGTGTGTATACTATATATGTGTGTATATATATATAACTATGTATATTTGTATGTGTGTGTGCGTGTGTGTGTATACTATATATGTGTGTGTATATATATATAACTATGTATATTTGTATGTGTGTGTGCCTGTGTTTGTATACTATATATGTGTGATATATATATATAACTATGTATATTTGTATGTGTGTGTGTGTGTATGTGTGTATACTATATATGTGTGTGTATATATATATAACTATGTATATTTGTATGTGTGTGTGCCTGTGTATGTATACTATATATGTGTGTGTATATATATATAACTATGTATATTTGTATGTGTGTATGCGTGTGTGTATACTATATATGTGTATATATGTATATGTAAATACATATACAAGTATATATATCACCATATATATCACCATATGTATGCATCATGTGATGTATATAATCACCATATGTACGTATCCACACATGTATACATGTGTGTGCAGACACATATACATACATAAATTTTCAGACAGTGATAAATGCCATAAAGTAAAAAGCATAGCCTGAAATCAGACAGTGATTTGTGTTGGGGACTTCTGTTTCAAGTAGGGTGGTCAGTGTAGTCCTCTTGGGAGTCCTCTCTGGAGACGTTAGCAGAGTCCTAATTTGAGTAGAGGCCAGATGAAGCAGAAGAGAGAATGGTGTGAACACCTGAAGGAAGAGAATTCCAGGCCATGGGATCATGCTCAAAGTGGTAGGAATAAGCTTTAGGGATTCAAGGAACAGGGGGAAAACAACGTGGCTGGAGAGAATCAGTGTTAGGGAAATTATGATGGGAAACAAGATTGAGGTATATATTGGACCTTGTAGGGCCATGGTGAAGACTAGGGATTTTACTTTGAGGTATCAGAGGAATGACATAATTTAATTTACATTTTCCGAGCTGTTTCTTACTACTCGGATGGCTATGGATGGAGGAAAAGAAGGGCAGGCAGACTATTCTAGGGGTCCCTCTGAGAGATAAAGGTGCTACAGGCTAACGTAGAGATGTTGAAATTTAGATGCACACAACTTGCTAATAAATTGGTCACTGATGTCAGTGTTTTACTATTTGTGATAAAACGCTTGGGGGTGAAATGCTTCTTTGTAGGTCTCTGGGTTTCTGACATCATTTCCAAGTTTTTATTTTTATTTATTTATTTATAAACGAAACAGCATCTCCCTATGTCATTCAAGTTGGAGTGTGGAGGTGTGCTCACTGCTCACTGCATCATTGATCTCCTGGGCTCAAAGAATCCTCACACTTTAGCCTCGCATGTAGTGTTCACCACACGTACATGCCACCACGCTCAG